TTTTTACATAATAACATCACGTCTTTTATACTTGGAGGGATAGACAGGAGTGCACATTACGGTATGTATACCACTGTTCAATGTAACACCCACTTTTCAGTATTTATGTTATGAGTCCCATGTAATATGGACCTATTTTTATCTAACTCGTTTCGTTATGATTAAAAACGAAATCATTTGGTATTTTATTGCATTTACTTCATTAAAATGTAGAAAAATTTATTTTATTATTTTTAGAAATTTATTTAAGTAAATGTGTAAAATGACACGATAGTGTCATTCACTATATTCATCTGTTGTAGGTATAGTATTTTATGAAAATATCGGATTGGTAATAGATCTATAAAATGGGCAATAAAACCAAATAAAAATGATTACAGAGTAACCTATTATCATTATAAATGGCGCATAACTGTTGAAAAAAATCATTTAATATTGTCCTATCTTTCTAAGGATATAAATACGGGACATGGTTTCACAGTTTTTATCAAATCAGTCAGCTTAAAATCTTTTAATCTTTCTAAAATAGAATTCCTAAATTATAATTATATTCCTTGATTAAGATCAACTTACTTTCCTTATAATACAGTTTTACCTACAAGTGTACAGCGATTGAGATAATTAATAATTATAATTAGTATCGACCTTTCAACTCAGAACCGATTAATGATACTAAGAAATGTCATTTTACATGTGACAGTACACGTAGGTACAGTCCCAGGCAAAAGACATTGAATTAAGATTTTTTTTTAGGACCGGGGATGCATTGGTGCCTAAGAATTATATATCTTTTGTTTTCATTTAAACAAGATATGAAACGACCAAGTGCCATCATTAATTGAGGTAAATAGAAAAATGATTATATGAGATTGGCGTTGACTTATGACAAATTATGCCAAACCCGTACATTGACTTTTATACTACTTCGATTAGACTACCGTTTATGATGGCATGAATGATAAGATATACGGTTTTCAAGGGGCTGTCAACCTTATTATTTTGCTACAGAGTTGAAATTTTGTTAAAGAGTTTTGACAACAGTGCAGTTTCGTTTGCTGGTGGCATTTTTGCCATATCAATATCTGAACATTTTTGCCGGTGAGTGTTTCACTTATCACAAACATTTGCCTCGGGCCAGGTCAACGTGGAATACCGACTTTGATTTATATCAGTTTATTAATACCTATGTTATTAGCCGATAACGCTGCAGCTATCTGGAATGCTATCTATTATGAACTCATAATGTATCTCCCTACACATAGGTGTGAGTTCGCAGGCATTTTTGTTAGCAATCGTCGAGTATTTTTTTTCTATTTCAATGTGTTTCGTTCTGTCTAGTCTAGATGGCTCCCATTTTTCTCAATCGTACTAAAAAAATACTAATACGAATGATTGTCTCAATTTTATTTTGTTCCCCAAAAGTTAACGACGCGATTATAATCAACAAGAGAAATAGAAATAAACTGGAAACGATCCGAACCACTCGACCCACATTCGACGCATCGTATGCTGTCCTACTGCAACATCATACGCTCACACATCGTTTCCTGGAACACGCGGTCTACATTATTTTTGGCAGATCTAGTAATGTGATGACACACATATTATGTCACCACAGAGGAAGTAAGGTCAGAGGGATCGCTGGAAACAGACTTCTAAATGAGTAGAGGGATAGCCACGCAATTTTAAGTACTGAAAAATTTCCGTACGTAGGTGCATCTGATGACAAGTATTTTCAATGCATCTTATTTTGCTGCCTCATTTCGTTGGCATGCGGCAAGACAAGTAATACTATATTATGTATGAGCAATTGTGCATAGAGAGTTTATTTTCAATTTTATGAAGTGGCAGAAACCGTTTTAACCTCTGCTTAACCTTTCCTCTTTTCAAGCCCACTATTCTGCAATTCAATTTACATATTTACAGCTTTAAAATGCAGAAAGTATAACATTTCAAGGTTTCTCTTCGTATATTCTCAGGTATAATAGCGTTTACAGTATAAATTTCGAGATAACATTTTACGTACATCTGGACATGATTAATAAACTTCCGACGAACGCAACGAGGAAAAGAAAGATTAAGTTAGTGAGTAATGAAGTCATAAACAATGATTTATATCACTATTGTTATATTCTTGTGACCAAAACAAATAAAGTTTTCGCTTTAAGCACTGGATTTAATATGAAAAGTACATATACTTAAATAATGAACGTTTGACTGTAGTTACGGTCATTCAGAAGCCCGTGAAGTTATCTAGTAGTCAGCTAATTCTTATCCGGTTGAGAAAACCGACGTAAAAGAAAATTCAACATTGATTGCGTACGATTTGCTCGTACATACATGTAATTTATATTTCCCGATAATTGTATAAGAAAGCAAATATTCATTGGAATGCCTGCAATGACAGCTACGTACGAACATGAAAGCAATCATACAGGTACGGAACGATAATTAGGGGTCTGGCAGTTCTCCATCATACTAATAAACTAAACATCCTTTAGAACGGGCAATAAGAGCAGTCCAGTAATAAGTATCATGCATTACAGAGTACAAAACAATAATTATCATAATTTGTTCTGCTCAATTTTCTGTGTTCCCGTTCATATACATCCTGTGCCTTACGTCAGATTACTGGGTAAGTAATTTTGCTAAACAGTGTAATCGAGAATGCTGCGAACGAGTTCAGACAGATGGTATGACAATGGAAACAGGTTCTTTACCGGGACTGGGTCTAAAGGTAATGAATGTTTCACTTCAGATTTAAGTGCCGGGTATTATATGCTAGTTCTAGTTAAGTGGATGTTACCATTAACTGGTGTACGCCGTAAAAACAGTACTTATCAGGTAGCTTCTGTTAACTGATTGGTCGCTTCGCATGTGATTTGCTATTTCAAATTGTGTGAGCATTTTACTTTTGTATTGGATGGAAGAATCGAATCTCCAATGGTAACAAGATTCCAAAAGATATAAGAGATGTGAACTGTAAGAGGCCGTTGGCAAAGTATTTTACTTCAACAATGATATACAATTTCTTAGGTTGAATAACTGTCTAATGCTTAGTTATATGAACTATGATTTGATATAGTATAGAGTAAAGAGGAAAGTAGTTTTTGATATTCCGGTTTCAGAATACTCATTAAATGCGTTATCGTGATCATAAAGCGTATTAGAAGTACGTTTTCGTTTTTCATTTCCGTGAATTAATCTTACGGAAATGAAAACTGAATCTTATTGTCGCGTTATTGATATTTTTAACATTGTATACAATTTTTTAAGGTCCTGTCACTATCAATTGTGTTTATCTGTCGTAGATTTCAAAGCTACCCTGAAGCAAATGTGAAAGATCATCAGTACACAATAATATTATGGTGTAAACTCAGCCACATACGATAACTAGTCTTTATAAGTACTGTTTATATAATAACTATCATGAGACATACTAAATTAATTAAAAATCACAGATTATTCACGTGAAAATACTGAGAAAAACTCTACTAGTGTCGAACAACAGTGTATGCTGCGCGAAATCGCTGCGACTACGCTGCTCATGAGGGAGAACCCCTCTGTAGTTGGAAACTAGTAGAGCTTTTCTCAGTATACTCACATGAAATAGCCCGCGATTTTGATATAATTTATAAGTACTCATTGAGCTTCGAAAATAAAATAAAAAAACAACAATAAACTCTTTCTCAATCTGGAGAGCAATCAGAAAGATGTATCCCACATATCGTATCTGAGACAATAGTGCGTACAATAATAGGTAAGTCACATTATGTCATAGTAACACCTGAGCGAGGTAGCGATAGAATTTAGCACGCATAATTTTAGCCAAATACCATGATGAGTAACACTTGGTATTAGTAATAATGTTTATTTTCATCGCACTACTGAACTGCTGAACATTTACAAAACTGGATTACCGAGTGCATTTTCTAAAGGAATCAGTTGTTTATAGCGATAATCGGTAACCAGAACTTGATCAAGAAGTTCATTAAGTGTTTCGAATGCAATCATAACAAATATTTTATGTTCTTTTTATTTCTTGTAAGTACTGATCTGAATTTTTGAAGTTGGACTATTTCAGCGATGTCCTCAATCAGAATTTAAACTTTGAGGTTTGAGGTGCCGTGTAATATACATGTCAAAATGCTATCTCTAGCAGCAAAATCTACAAAAAGGTTGAGACTAACGGTTGAGGATATCTTTAAATTAGAACATATGTCTAGTTAGACTCTAACTACTATAAAGTCTCTTTGCATAGTGGCAAGTATTTGTTGCCAAAACAAAGCCTGAGGTTTTGTAAACAGCAATAAAACGGGTAGGTAGGTCATCTGTAATTCGTTTTCAAGGTATTCCCTTCGGTGAAATTTTTATATTATCACTAATATTCACCCTACTTTATAACAACTTTGTCTTTTTCTGGTCTAGTTCAAGTTACCTAACACGGGTTTGTATAGATAACTAGATAATGATCAATTTCTTTACGAATGCTGAAGTATATCAAAGTCGCATGAATGCCCATTCGGAACATATACTTCTACTATCTATTCTTCTTATATTCCATTCATGGAATACATAAAAAACTTCAAATTACGTTCCTCGTGTAACCTTCACTGAGATCTAGGTAAAAATTCATACACCTTGAAAACCCAATTGATTTGTACCTTGTTTGTCTATAAACGCAATGGCATCGACTCTTTAATATGTCTTATCTATGCAAACCTTTGCCTTTATGACAAAAATTAATCATCAACACTAATTGTTATCTTTCTTTGTAAAACCAGTCCTTTCTTGATAAAACGTTGAATTTATCGGTGACTGATTTTTATTGTCAATATTTACGTGCTCGGCCGATGCGTGAGCTCGGGACCGCGAAATAATCGGCGATTGTTTTTTTTTAATTAACGAAGGAGGTCGTACACGCGTATTATAGCAAGTAATAAAATATTTTTACGGTATTTTAATAGCAATAAAATGGTTATACAACAGGTAACACTCACCCGATGTGGGGCCTGCAGCAAGCGATGAACGGCAGCTATTTGGTACGACAAGGGTATGGTAGTGTTGAACGTATGGTACAGTGGCCGAGGAGGCTCCCGAACATTGTACTCCATGAAAGGGTCCAGGTCGTCCAGGTACTGGACTCGGCACACGAACGAATCAGATCCAATATCTCTCATTGTTCCGTTTACTTTGTTGTCATTCACTTTTAACAGTTCAATCATGTTTTCATGCTCTAACTTATAAAGATCACAGTTGTAATCACATTTTACACTTAACTGAACCTGTTACAAAAAATATTGTAGGTGTTTCAATTGAATGAAGGAGCCAGTTTTTGATTTAATGTTTTTCCGCGCAGGTTTTATCTTTTCCAGCGTAATCGCGAGCGCCGCGGCCGCACAGCGCGGTATGTTTGGCGTTGGAAAACTCACGTTCGCGTCTGATGTCTGTTCCACGATAAGCGTGCCAGATGTTATGATTAAGTTTTTTCAACAGCACGAGTAAGGATGTGGTTTGGTGCTAACGCTAACGAAGTTCAATCTCATTCTAAAAAGCACCGTTATTGCGAAATGACAGGTTAAAAAATGGACGTGTACAATGTACATCACCAATGTAACCTAATGTTATAAAGTTTTCGTGAAGGTTTCTCCAGATTATAAACAACATAAATTCGAAACAGAGTCTATTTTACACCGCTGTTGCTATTTGCAGCTGTTATGGAAAACAAAGAAGCGGTACCTACAATTTCATAGGTACCTACATTAGCTACATGAGATCAGAAATAGAATTTGTTTAATTTCTGCCTCATAAACGATTACGTAGATGCTACTAAAATCCGCCTGCGAATAATCTGTATACGTAATCGGCTCTTTAAAGTGAGAAGTGTTTTGTTTGTGAATCGTTTCCTTGTTTTGATACAATATGGAGAAAGGATGGTGGTAGAAACGGACATTTATAAAATAAACATTACATAATTATTTCCAATTAGAGAACCATAAAAATTAAACTCGCATCATTATCTATCTGTATATAGCTAATAATAATGAACGAGGTGTTCATCGTGTTTGTTTTGGACATCGTACTAATGTAAAAATCTACATCTTTACATGAAATGAAAAATATAAATATATACCGCATAGTACCTACGCAGTACCAAGCTCGACAGTTCGATCAGTTAGTACCTGTATTGACGGACAATGGGGATGATGACAGGGTATGAAAATTAAAAATATAATTAGTCCGTAACTTAGGTAATAAAAAAATATTAGACACGTATTTTTTTATTTTGTTGTATAATAAAACAATACTTAGATAAAACGAATCAAAGTTTAGGAGTGGGGGCTAAAACGTCATTTCTTAGTATAAAATGTACTGAGAAGTGACGTCACGCGATATTTCAAATCAATATATCTTCGAAACTATTCGTTTCCGTAAGAAAATAAAAATACGTGTCTAATGTTTTTAAATAATCTACCAGACGGACATTAAAATAAAAATTAGTCGTCTACCCCATTCTAATTCGACGTATCGAAAAAACCTGTATGAATGTCGATTAATTGAAATAAAGGCTCTGATTTAATTAAAGAATTTAAATTAAAAAGATAGTCATCTCCAATTCTCATATGACTTTGACAATACAATAAGGTCATTTCCTACACAAGAACATTAGTTTTTCAATGAAAAACTGGCCTAATCACACTTATATTCTCACGAGGTCGATTACTCGACTATGGCCACTGTTGTGCGCAACGACATAAGTATTATACAAATTGATATCAATTCAATTCACATTCAAACTGATTGCATTGACTATCTAAATGAAACATCCATCTTTATAAAGAAAATTGATCTCATTGGCTGATCGGTGTTTCAAGACTGTATTTCAATTTAAAATGAACTTTGTGAAAGTGCTTTTGGACTTAATTTAACTTGTACACTGTATTGAGTTCCATGTGCAGTGAAGAACTAGATTGTCTTGAGTCTGGATTGGATATGAAATCATTTTTATGATGTATAACAGCCAGACTGAATAAGGTATTTGTCATCACGTTTATCTACCTTTAATCCTTCTACCTTTAGTATCTGACCACAAAGACTGGTCGTGTGTCAATAAATAATAATAAAATAATATTTTTTCATTACAATAAAACGACTATCGTAAAGATAAACTAAGATATTATTTAAAAACACAACTCGCCAAGTTCGAAATTGTAACTTAATAGGTACAATTCTAAATCTCAGTAGAGCCATTACTCAATTGTAGAAACGAATCTAATACGGGATTATTTGACCTGCTATCTCTTCTTAGGTATTTTTTACGTAGGTAATAAGAACTGACTATTTGGAGTTTATGTTTAGAAAGGGAATTACAATGAATGAGAACACGGAAAAACTCGGATTCATTAAAAGGCTACAAGGAGACGTGTCATTCTCACTTATCAATGCATTATTCAAATAGCGATGACGTCACCACTTAAGATAAGGAAGAGGAAAGTGGTGGAGTACCAAGTAGAAAGCCGTCACTCCGATGACATCTACATTATGCTGATGGTGTTAACACTTACAAAGGAGAAAAGGGAAACCCTATTAGCATAGGATTTTCCACTACGCAATACTTTAAAAATTATTCGCCATTCGTTGTTTTTTGCTTTACCGAAGGATTTGCGCATAATGCGTAATTAAGAGTGAAGTTGTTGAGGTACTCGCATCGTGCTAAAATTCTGAAGTTGGTGCTATAATATTATTCTGGTAACAATAAGGTCTTATTTTTATAATAGAAAATACCCAATAGACTGCCAAGTTGGCAGAGATGCATGTGCGACGGCCGGGCAAGGGGTCTCGGGTTCGATTCCTGAGCCGGGCAAAGTATTACTGAGATTAGAATAAGAAAATTTCAATAGCATGCTGAAGTCTGGAATTGTGCCCGGTATATGGCAATAGGCACACCTCCTAAAACAGGGGACTCATAACATAAATGGTAAAAAGTGGGTGTTACATTTACATTGTAAAGTGCTTTAATGTGCACCTCTGCCTACTCCTTCGAGGATGAAAAGGCGTGATATTATGTCATTATGTCAATAATAGAAACAATATTTTATTCATCCTGAAATCATTCCATGCGACCACCGTGATCCTCAAGTTCTGCTGTAGGATTCTATCTCGCTCTATAGTTATCCAATATGGTTACTAACAAAATTTTATTCTTAACCCGGGATTTCAGCTTCATTTTCAGGCTCTGTAAACATCTTTCGAATATTTTAACCGTAAACGCTAATGTCACTTCTACAAAACTTACTTAACAAAAACCAGTTATTCCACTTTGTTGATAGGTAAATTGATATTAATAGACAATGTAATTGATCGGTGAGAAAAATCACACGATAGACACTCATCTCAAAAACTTGTGGTTTTTGTATTTTTGTTAATAAATTGCTCAAGTGAATCTGTAGCTACATAGTGTAGTCAGAGTCCTGTAAAGTATGGAAATAGCCAGCCATATTTTATCAAAGTCGATTTTTCACTAATAAGTGATGCTAGCAAGGAATTTGTATAATTAACGTTTTCTTTTAAGGAGTAAAACATTGATCCTTACATCTTCGCAATAAAACAGATTTTAGCATACCCGAAATCATTTCAATTCTAACGAAATTACACACAATTAAGTTATTACTATATTGCATTATTTCATAAGAAAAATGTCTTGATAATCTGTTCCCAAACTTTCTGTTCGGGAAATTGTTTCACGTGAGGTCAATGATCCCGGCGCACGCGCCCGCTCGCTCTGTTTCTACGATTCATCACGCCTGTGATTGGGGACTCAAATAAAAAAAAATATTTATACACTACTGATTCCGGATAGACTGTTGTGTAATAAAACGAATGCTGGAAAACCATCGCTGTCCCGGTTCTTAAGTTTCGAAAATCGGATCCTTATATATTGTTAGATATTATCATTAAAAAATATTTTTACTGGTTATAGGCGTCAGAACGATTATAGTGTCATTTTTGATGATTATGATACAAATTTACAAATTATGGAGTTTCGATTAATATCCGAGTTCAGAGTTCCGACTCATATTTACATATTTAGGAAAATATCAAAATAACGTAACACCACTTTAACATTTTCCAAGTAAATGGACGTGTTTACAAAAGAAATTTGAAATGTTGCTATTGCCTCGGTTATTATTGCAATTATTCCAATTCGTTAGAATCTGGTGTAAACAACTATTGGAGTGGAACATTATACGTCATTTAGAGGTAATTTCTACGCCTGTAACCAGAGAATAGGCACATCTTAATGTTCATACTATCTACTATTACGCGTATTTTGAGAGAATATTACTGCAGTGTTTAGTATTTCTGTAGTTTCTGCGGATTATGAACTGAATGTATTATTCTTTTGATATCTAAGAGTTTTAAGACACAAGGCCCAATTGGTTTCATTGACCCTCTTATACTCGTACTTTGGTACTCGTAAACTAAATTTTACAGTTAAAAATGAATGAAAATATACAAAAAAGACAACTTGCGACTCTTCACAAAAAAATTCGTATTCGTCAAGTTTTAACCATGTAGGTATATGTGCTATTTTTAAACTCGCAATATTATTATTTTTCAATGGACTGCACCGTCCAAGGTTGGGTACCTTTCTCTTTTATTAACTGATTCGTGTTCAATGATATTAATTATAATGTTAGTACGATGATCGGTGACCATCGGCATTGTCGTGATGCTTTCTGACCTGCGATGTGAACCCGACCCGGTCGTGATTGGCTGCCCGGCATTATTTGCTTAAGGCCTCATTTTATATTGTTCTTTTTTCGATTTCTTGTCAGCCATTTTAATTTTCAACCTCGATATTTTTTTTCTACTAGGTAATAGATAAATGGTGGTGTCTTAATTTTGAGCTGTCGCGATGTTTATGTTTTTGTTAGATAATGTTGCAAATTATTGTAAAGTTATGTTAAATGTAAAAATTTTCATATATGTACTTATCCACACTCTTGCAGTTGCAGCGATACGTTGCCTGCATACATTTTATGCGATTTTCCCAGAAAGATTCGTATCACGGAAAACGGAGACCGTATTTCTATCAAATCGGCATAAAATTGTCAGGTTTACTTTATTTACAACTGATACATATCAAGTACTGACAAGACCGGCTCTAAGTGCAGTGTACCCTTTGAACGAAAAATTCTTGTTGTGAACACTTAAATGCATAGTTTACAAACAAATGGCGGTGCAACACAATCACAATCGATAACAAATCAGTATTAATCAT